ATGCGTCTTGTTTACAGATGGTGAATGTCACCCATTACGTAAGCACTTTGAAAATTTAACTCTCCGTGGTTTGCCTTCTGCCCAGGACACTCCCCAGTGTCCCCCTGGAGAGTGACTCCAGCAAGACACTGGAGACATCATCTTTCCCACAGTGGCTACTTGTGGGATCCATCTTCCTCAACTTTGGTCTAGTGGCCCCATCCCCTCCTCTGCAGCCTCCAAATAAATAGTTGCTTGGAGATTTCTGCAGAAAATTCCTCGGATATACTTAGACATAGCTCATCCGGGTTGGGAAGGCGTCCACGTTGCAAGGATGATTCCAACGCCCACACGGCTCTTAGGCTACAAGTTCACCTTGTTTTCTTAGCACTGACTGTGTGCCCCGTCCTGTGTCAGGCAGTAAACAAAGATAACCCCAGACCCTGTGGAGCTCAGGGTCTGAGGGGAGAGAGACAAGGAAATGGGCAGGGAGAAGCATATGCAGGGGGCGGGAACCAGGCTTTGGGTCAGCAAGAACCCCTTGACATAGAGGCACCAAAGTCTAGGTTCGCAGCGAGAAGAGGAGCTCACCAGTTTGCTCTTTTCTTGCCCGAGAGGACCCTGCTGTCCACAGTGAAGCCTCTGCTCCGTGTTCAGAGTCTGGCTGCTCCGGAGAGTCTGCTCTACTGCCCAGGCTCCCAGCTCATTTAGAGCTCAAGCCACCTCCAAGTCCTCACCAGGCCCTGCTAGGCTGCACATTTGGTATTGTCCCATGTCTGTGATCTCTGGGGCTTTCTTAGCTGTCTCTCTCTTCTTCCTATTCAGGACTCCTTTACCACAGTTAGGACTGTGTGTCTGTAATTTCCCCTTCCTCGGGATCCATATTTTGTTCTGGAATCTCTCATTGTGCTCCTGGTTCAAGATGGAAGCCTAGATCGCCCTGTCCACCCCAATTCTTCCCCAAATCCTCCCTAAGAGGAGACAGGATGCCTTGCTTTCTGCTCCCTGTACCACCCCACCCCCACCAGCTCATGTCGAGGGAGGATCAGGGAATTCTGTGCTTCAAGGGTGGCCTCTGCTGCTGGGGGAACTCGTGGCAACCCCATTTACTCATCCACAGAGGGAAGAGTTGATGTCTCTCCAGCCTGCCCACATTGGAACCCCCAGCATGACCAAAGCCGTCTAGGTCTATTTTAGGTCTGGTTCCCAAAGATGAGGTTTCATGTGCAAGCGATGTCAGGCTGTGCTCCAAGGGGGAAATCAGTAAAGGGCTGAAGAGAGCAAGACAGGTGAAGGCAGGAAGCTGGGGACACACACACACATAAATGTCCACAGCAGCATTTTTGGTAACATCTCAAAACTAGGAACAACCCTCATGTCCGGCAACAGTAGAATCAATGGGGAAAATGTGATAGTCACACAACTGGATGCTAGTTAGCAATGTAAATAACTGAACTACAGCTACACACAAAGGCTGAATGCATTTCACAAACTGAAAAAGATCTGCAACTCACACTCCAGACAAAAGATGAATCTCCCTTATATATAAAGAGTTCCTTCCAGTTGTTACGAGAAAGACCAACAGCTCAGTAGAAACATGATTCAGGGAACAGGAAATATAAATGGCATGTAAGTGTTTGAACAGTTATTCAAGTTCACTGCTAGGAGAAATGCAAATTAAGACTGCACTCACACCTTCAGACAAGCGTATCACAGTTTGAGAACTGTGTCGGTAAGGTTGCAGGCCAAGGCGCCCTCTAGATACTGCTGGTGCAATTGTCCATTGGCACAAATTGAAGGGCAATTTAAGTGTATCCTCCCAAGTCATAAAAACACAAATCTTTTGACCCAGGAAGCCCATTTTAGGAAATCATCTCACAGATGAGTTTGTGTATAAAATTATCCATCACAGCCTGGATTGCAGTAGCAGAAGGCCTGGAAACCATTTACATGGCCAAGAGGGGACTATATGAATGAGGGGCAACATTCAACTATAAAAAAAATGGCGGGGACACACAGCCACTGGAATAACTAAAATTAAAACAATGAGCAACACTAAGTGCCAGCAAGGATGGAGAGGAACTCGAACTCTCCTCCACTGCTGGTAGGCATGTAAGATGGTACAGTTGCTTTGGAAATGAGTTTCTTTCAAACTTAAATATGCCCTTGCCATAGGACCCTGCCCTTCTACTTCTGGGTCTTCACAGATGAGAAATGAGAAATGAAAACATAGATTCATATAAAACTTCACAGCAATGTGTAGCAGCTACATGTAGGAGAGTCTCACGCTGGAAAAGAACCCAAATGCCTAACTGGAGAATAGAGAAAGTGTGCTTTCCTCTGCCCATGGAACATACTCGGCACTACAAAAGCAAACAATGTCGATGAATTTCAAAAACATAGAAGGAAGAAAGCCAGACACAAAGAGTACATGCTTTGTAGTTACATTTATACGAAGTTCTGGAATAGGCAAAGTTTATGTATAGACACAAAGCAGATCAATGACTGCCTGGGGCTGGAAGTGGGAGAGAGGGACTGGGGAGGGGCACAGGAGAACTTTTTGGGGACGATGGAAATAGGTCTATCAGCTCCAGGCACAGCTGGACTGGTCTGGCCAAGGAACCTCCAGGAATGCAACCCCACTAGCTTACAAGTAGTTAATCAGTACTACCTTAAGGATATATTTACCGGATGTACCTAATGAAACCTCTACCAAAAAGAACAAATATACTTTTCAGATTCCAAGCCTCTTGAGATGAAGAAGACCTCCCAGGGAACCAGACAAAGTGGCACCAGGGCACCTGTTAACACGACCTCCTGGGCCTCCAGTCAGGGACAGCCAACCTTCTCAGGACAGTCCTGCCCCCAATTTTGCCCTTAAAACCCTTCACTTGCAAGCCACTGGGGAGATCGGGACTTTAGAGCATTACTTTCCCATTTTCCTGGGCGGGTCTGTACCAGTAAATAGCTAATCTTTCTTCACTGCAAAAGTTCTGTGCCACTTTTACTTGCCTGCTGCCCACAGGGTGGACAAACTCTCCTACTTGGTTTGGTTACAGAACATTGTATCTGGATTATGGTGGTGAGTACAGAGGCGCATGAATTTATCAAGTTCATCTAAATGGACACTTAGAACAGGTGCACTTTATTTTTTTAAAGATTTTATGTATTGGGCGCCTGGGTGGCTCAGTGAGTTAAAGCCTACGCCTTCGGCTCAGGTCATGATCCCAGGGTCCTGGGATCAAGCCCCACATCGGGCTCTCTGCTCAGCAGGGAGCCTGCTTCCTCTTCTCTCTCTGCCTGCCTCTCTGCCTACTTGTGATCTCCATCTGTCAAATAAATACAAAACATCTTTTTTTTTTTTTTAAAAGATTATGTATTTATTTGAGAGAGAGAGCGAGAGAGCGCGAGCATGGGTGGGGAGGAGGGGCAGAGGGAGAGGGAGAAACAGGCTCTCCACTGAGGAGGGAGCCTGACTCCGGGCTGGATCCCAGGACTCCTGAGATCATGACCTGAGCTGAAGGCAGAAACTCAACCAGCTGAGCCACCCAGGTGCCCCAGGTGCACTTTACTGTATGTAAATTATCTTAATAAAGTTGACTTGAAAACCTGAAGTAATGATAATAGGATACTAGTAAAAACCATAAGACTACTTTACATGCACTGATCGGAAGCACCTCCGAAGTGTAGTAAGTGGGGAGAAAACGGTGTAGAGAAATGTTAATAAAAGAAAAAAGATATCTGTATCGTCTTGGATGTGTGTAAACTAATCCAAAACCTACACAAGGAGCTAAGGATAGCGGCTTTGCATTGGTTGGGGGATGTGGGCTCAGAGGGTGGGAAGAAAAGGGAGGGATGATTCCTGTACATCTTATCATATTTTGTTGTATATCAGACCTACACAGGGTTCCCTATATCTGCTGCAACTCTTCCTAAGGGAACGTCCGCATTTGTTCCCCAAAACAAATAGATTTGCGTAAGAGTTCGCACCCCTCCTGGGGCACCTGGGTGGCTCCGTGGGTTGAGCGACAGACTCTTGGTTTCAACTCAGGTCATGATGTTCCCTGGTGAGATTGAGCCCCAGCTACACCGTCCCCCCCACCCCCGACTCAGCGAGGAGTCCCTTTTAGATTCTCTCTCCTCCTCGGACCACCCCTCAAACAAACAAACAAAATATTAAAAAACATATTTAAAAAAGAAAGTTAACACCTCTCGCTATCAGAATACGGCTACTCGTTCTCCGGATTTACTACTCAGTACACAAACCTTTAAAGAAAGAAACAGATGTTGCCAAAGCAGGAGGGATCCCCTGCGTCTGGGAGTCTGTGGCTTTGCGCAGTTGTTCCCGGCGGCCACCCCAGGGACAGGGGCTGCCCGCGCCCGCCTCGCCTTTGCCGGGCACCAAGCCCGCAGCACCGCGGCTCCACCCGCTCCCCCGACCCGCGCGCAGGGGCTGGCGGCCACCCCGACGCCCAGGAGCGTTCGGAGCCGCCGGGGCACCTGCCTCTCGAGGGCGCCCGCCTCCTTTCTCCTCGGGGCACTTCCGCCGGGTTCGGGCCAGGGCCCCTCTGGGCAGGGTCGGTGAGCAGGCGGAGACAGATGTCCGCCCAGGGGACCAGGGAGGGGGGCGACCCGAGCAGCAGCAGGTGGCCCCCAGCCCTGCTCTCTCCTCCACCAGCCCCCGATGGCCCTCAAAGGGCCTTCCGAGGGGCCCCGCCCCATCCCCACTCCACACCCGCTCCGCCCCGGCGGGGAGAGCGCGCCCAGACCTACCCCGCGGCTTGGCGCTGGCGGATTCCCGAGGGGCCGCACGGATTCCGCCGACCCTGCTCCTAACCTTAGACGGCCGCTCCGGTTCCCCGAGGGCGCACGGGGTCTGGCCCGGGGCCAGGGTCGGGCGGATGGGCTGCGGGGTTCCGTGCGGGGTGGCGCGGGAGGCGGCCGGCCGGCTGTTCTGGGCGTGGGTCGGCCTGGATCCAGCCAGGGCGGAGCCGGGAGCCGGGAGCCGCGTCGTGGAGGCCGGGGCGCTCTCAGCGATGGGCTGGGGGTCTCGGAGAGCTGGAGGGTCGCGGGCGTGGCTGCTGCTGCTGCTGCTCTTGAGGCTAACTTTGCCGGTGTGGGGGGTCAAGGCGTTTCAAGGTGAGTGCGACGTCCCCCGCCTGGCCGGCGAGGTCGCTGTCAGCCACCACGGTGGCTGGGAGGACAAGGGAGGGTCTCCGCAGGACCTGTTCGGGGACTCTCAGCTGTACTTGGGCTGGCCTTGTGGCCCAGACTGACACACTCTGCCCAGATGCCACAGTGCCAATAACAAAGCATTGGCGGGGTGGGGGGTGGGGGGGTCCCCTCTGAGCATCTGCCCAAGTTCCCAAACTCCTCTGCCAGGTTTTTCTCCCTTGACCACCCCCAGACTCCACCCACCGGTGTGGACTTTCCCGCATCTCCCTCCCTGAGGCCCAGCGCACTGGTTGCCCAGAGCCCCTGCTGTGCCCTCAGACTCAGGCAGCCCGCATCCCAGGGCCTGGGGGGCAGTGTGTGTGTGTTGTTGATATTGTTGCCTTGTTTGATGAGATAGAGAGAGGTACTTCAGCAGAAGGGGCCCTGGAAGGTAACCTCCACAACCCCGGTGTGCAGGAGGACTGACTGAGTCCTGTTTCTTCTATGGAAGCACCCTGTGCAGGGACTGGAAGCACACCTGGGAGGGGGCAGGAATGGCCAGCTGGGCTGGGCAGCCTGGGGGCACTGGGTTCCAGAGCACTGTCGGGGAGTACCCAATAGGGATAGGGTCCTGTTCTGTCCTGGGGTCCCAAGAGGGTAGGATGACAGCCCTCATGCCTTTGGATGGCTGCTCCTCCTCAGCCTGGGGTGGGGGGTGGTTGGGAGAGGGTGGGATGACCCCTGAGATGGCGTGGAGAAGGGCTTTGTAATCCCCAACATCACACTGGCTCCCTAACCCTCATCATCACAGCTCCATCTCTGCCTCCCCTTCTTCCTCAGGGGTGCCATGAAGAGAATCCCCAACCCGCATGCACACAGGCACACCCTCTTCTCTTTACCTGGGAGGCCCAGGGCCAGCAAGAGGAAGTTCTCCACACCCAGTTAGTTCTCTCTGGGATGGGTTGCCCCCCACTTATGCCTCCTCCTAGATTCACTCCGATCCCTCCCCTACCGTGGCAACTGGCTCATCCAAGCCAGGAGGGCTTCCGGGAGAAGGGGACTCCTATAGCTGCTGCTATTCTGGGTCTCTGATCATGAGGTCTGGGGGAGAGGATGGAGGAAGAGAAAGGAGTTGGGGTGGCCTGGCAGGAGCTGGAACACTTCCACAGTCCGCTGTCTGAACATGGGGTCAGGGCTGGCTGGGTGCTGGGTAGCTGTCAGTTCTGGGAGCTGGGCTCGCTGCCCCAGGGATTGTGTCAGAGGACAGGGAGGGCTGCCTACAGGCTCTGGGCTGCCTGGGGCTTGACTCCTGCAGGGCGGTTGTGGCAAGAGCTGCTGGGACCCACTGTGGGGTGCGGGGCTTGGAGCATTCCAGGGGAGCATTCCAGAGCCTTCTGAGTAATGCTTGGCTCTGGTATTCCTCCAGAGCCCCTTTAAGCACGCAGGGCCTGGGAGCACTCAGGCTGTGTCCCCCCAGGCCGCCCCACCTTGAAAGATCCTGGAATCAGCCTTCTGAGCTAGGGTCCCTGGAAGTCCTGCTTCCAGCATGAGGCCCCCCAAGGGGAGTTCTGGACAAGGTGGGCTTCCGCAGACATCTGGCTGTTGTTTTTCCCAGATGGCGGAGACACAGGCATCCTCTCTTCACAGATCTCTCACCCCAAAGGCATCTGCTGCCCAGTCTAAAAATACCCCAGGCTGCCTCCCCTTTCCCTTCCCTTCTGCACTGGGGGCCTTGATCTCTTCCTTGTGGCCTCTGACCCCCAAACCTCCCCCAGGTCAATGCGGCTCCTACCTCCCCAGCTGAGCTATCGTTCCCAGGCTTTCTTCTGCCTGGTGGTCCCTCGGTTCCAAGGATACCCCATGGGTGGCCATCCTTTCCCGGGCTTTGAATGTGGAAGATGGAGTCTCTTGTTCTACCTGGCTGAGGTCCTATAACCTCATCCCTCCACCGTCCCCACCCCCTATGCTCCCCCTCATCTTTTACTCTGTCCTCCCCCCAGGAAACCACCCTGGAAAACCAGTCACCTTGCACTGGGTCCTGGATGGAAGAGTCAGGCGCGATGTCACCCTGGAGGAGCCGGTTAGTGCCAGCTCATACTTCCCCTCGCAGGGGCCCAGGGTCTCCCAGCCCCTCTGCCCCTCCTTCTTCAGCTTGGCAGTTTGGCTGGGGTCCTTTTGGCCCCTTCCCGGAGGGTTGGCAGGTGGGGGTGGGGAGATAGCTGGCTCACATGAGCCTTCACACATGGAAGTCATTTTCAGGCTTCCTCCCCCTTGCTCCCTCCCTCCCAGAATTATCCAGGCCACCCCCATCTCCCAGCAGAGGTGGAGCCAGAATTTGTGGGGCCTGAAACTTTTCAGGGACCTCTTTAAGAAAACACCCAAATATCTTCCTTTTGCCAAGTTTACTAGAACATGTTACCCTGTGGACACATTGTTGTTCCCTCTGGGAAAACTTCAGCCTCCCTGGCTCACGCAGAATCCACTTCTGGGCAGGGGACACTGGTCACTCTCCTAGTGTTGTCCAAGGGCCCCTGACTTTGTTTCTCCAGGATGCTCTGCCCTAGCTTCCTGTCAACGCCCACCCATCACTTCCAGAATAACTGTGTCCCCATCTGTATTGGTCACACAGCTGTGCTACAAACCAGGAGGCCAGTGCCCTTGGTATCCCCATTTCACAGAGAGGCAAACTGAAGCCCAGAGAGGTTGAGAAAGTGTCTAAGGTCACACAACCTGAGACCAGAAGCCCAGAACCCTGAGGCCCACTAAAGTCTGAAACACTTGTAACCATTAACCAGTGCCCCCCACCCAGATCTAGAGAGTCCCCTTCATCCTGAATTTTCAGGCAGGAGAAGACAACCCACTGTCTAAGCCAGCAAGGAGGAAGGCAGGTGGACACTGTCATTAAGGCTAGGAGGACCCCATAGGCCCCACAGCTTTTAACCTTGGACCTTCCCTGGGTCTCTGAGACCCTCAGGGGCCCCCATTCAAGCTGGCCCAAGCTTTGAGTTGGTTGTCCTGGACACCACTGCCAGAAGAGAAGTCTAGGCACATGCTGGGGTCACAGTGACTGTGGTCCTCCCTCCCGGTCCAGCCTGGGCTGTGATGAGGCTGGGTATCCCAGAAGGCATTGCTTTCCCCTGCCTCCGGGAAGCCTGCCAAGATGAGGACAGCAGGCAGAGTTGAGGCAGCGAGTCCCGTCCAAGAGGTGGCAAATACCCACATTTCAGGTTAGGGGTGGGGTGCGTAGTGAATAGCAGGGTCACCAGGAGGGCAGGAAGCAAGGACATCAGGGGCTTTAGGACAGAGAGAGGGGAGCCCGGGGCTGGTGTTGAGGTAGGAGGAGGCTTTCCATCTGGGGCAGCTGTCCGTGCTTGGGGCCAACATTTCTCCAACAAAGTAAGTGGCATTCTGGTCATGTGAGCTCATGCTTAGAGCCTTGGAGAGGTCTCTTGGCTGGGGTGGGGGAGCTTGTCTGCTCCCCACCTGCAGAGAAAAGGACCCCAGAAGAATCTGAGCCCCTTGGCCTGGGGCCCAGCCCAATGCATGGTGGGATAAAAGGGAAGGGCCAGCAAGGGTGGGGGCCCACGTTCCGAAGACACAACAGCTCTCCACGATGCTCCTGGGCCCACTCCAACTCTGGGCCCCCAGCCAGGCAGAGTGGACAAGGCGGGGCAGAGTGGGTATTCCCACAGGGTGGAAGAGGCAAAGAAGCTGTGGGGAAGGAGAGGATGGCCCAGGCTCGGCCTCCTGACATCTAGCTGAGATGTTTTCCTCTTGGCCTGGAATTGGGGGGGCGGGGTGAATGTTTACTCCACAGGCTCAGTGAAGCAGGTGTGGGGCAGGCCTTCAGGAGGCCAGGGAAATTTTTGATTTGTCAGAATTGGACAAGGAGGTAGTAAAGTCTGAATTCTACAGGGACTGGGGAGCAGCAAGATACAGAAAAAAGAGGTTGTAAGGATGCCCGAGTCTTCCACCCAATGTCTTCAGGACCCAACCGTCCTCTCCACTTAGAGCAAGGCTTCTGGATGTGAAGCAGGAGGTAGAGCCAGAGGAAGAGCCCGGTCACCCTGTGTAAGGCAGCACACCTTTCTGGGATGCCTTGTCTCACCTCTCCGGAGGACATTCACCTAGCGGGTTGTGTCAAATGCCTGTTGTCAGAACCAAAAGCACCCCGAGTTTGGGAACATATATGCCTGCATATTCTCACCCCCACAACCATCCATACCTACCGTGGCAAGTGGGGAGCCTGCTGCCCCCTGCCCCCCGACTCTCCCTCACCAGCCTGCTCCCCATCCCACCTGCGCCCTCAGCCCTGCTCTCCTTCTTGCCCAGGTCTTGAAGCTAGACTCGGGGCTGGTGGCCTTGAAGGCTGAAGGGCAGGAGCTCCTGCTGGAGCTGGAGAAGAGCCAGTGAGTACCAGGCTGGGGAGGAGGCTAGCAACCAAGAACAGCCCCCCACTCTCTGGGGGGGGGAAATCTGTGGGGGGCAGGGACTGAGGGGAACACATGAGGGAGGCTGGCTGGAGGGAGGGTCCCAGAGGCAGGGGTAGAGGTGACAGAAAAAGGCATGCCAGCCCATGACCGGGTCCCTCAAGGCAGAAACAGGCTGCTGAGGCTGGGTCAGGCCAGCTGTGAGGCACACACCCCACTCCAGCCCCAGGAGCACCTTGTTAGCTTCCTGCCAGAAATGAGTGAGCATCACCCTGTGGGTGCTCAAATCGGGTGCCAAGTCCGAAGAGACTCCGAGATGGATTCCATAGTTGGGTAGGTGCTCAGGGCTGAGGGGCAGCAGGGACAAAGGTGTGGTAGCTAGCAAATCAAGGCACTTTCAGGGGGAGGCAATTTGTCTGGCTTGCCTGGAGGGTCTCCATCTGCAGGGAAGGGAGCAGTGGGAAATGAAACCGGGGAGACCCGTTAGGGCCAGATCACAGAGGCCATTTTAAGGCTGAGTGTCCAGGATGAGGCAAAGGCAAAGATTCTGAGCTGGTGAATGAGGAGGCAGGGCTGGGCCAGGTGGGATGGGTGTCGAAGGTGGAGCGTGGGGTCTGGAAACCGCCCAGACGGAATTACCCCAGCTTTCATTCATTGAGTGCTTGTTTCATCAGACGCACTGTTGCAAGCACTCTACACATGCTGACTTCTTCCCCCATGGAGCCAGATGCACCAGGAACACATTCTAGTTCCACACATCTCAGCACAGTTCTTCTGGGGTTCAACATCCCCACACAGGAAAGGGGGTAACCACATCACCTACTCCTCAGGTTGAGTGTGTTGTGTGTGTTGGGGGAGCCAAACTGGAGAAGGTGGAGGAAAGACTATGAGGTGGAGAAGCAGGCATCGCAGGTCTTTGCGGTGGTCTGGCAGTAAAGAGGTCAAGGCGAGATGGGGGTTGAGGATTTTCTTTACAGAAGAGAAATTGACTCATGGTTCATTCACCTTGGTGAGAAGGACCCTGGAGAGATGGAGAAGAATGGTGGTATCGTTACTGGAGTGGGGTCTGAAGAAGGTGGGGATGGGGATTCCTGCTCTGGTGGGCAGGCAGGAGCAGCTGTGAGCAGGTGGGGATTCTCCTTTTCTCCGGAAGCATGGGGTGAGCATCACTGATGGACAGGTGGGGAGATATGTACGGTCTAGGAGCCAGAGAAGATCTGAAGGATTTGGGGGGCAGGAAAGAAGACAAGAGAGGGTTGACCAGATGCCCAACAAGGCTGAGCAGCAGGCAGGGCCACCAAGGGAGGTTGCTGCACTTCCTTGGCTCTGGGTCCCACTTCCTCATCAGTGTCTCCTGAATCCTCCCTCCTGCCCCTCCCCAGACCAACAGACCCAGATGCCTGCCACAGGTCCCACAGGGACCACAAACTCTTTCCCCATTCCTGCTCCTTCCTAGTGCCTCCCACACCCCCACTTTCCACACCTCAGCCATTGCCAAGGCTCCTTCCTGCCCTCCACCTTTCTCCCTCTAGTCCAGGGTTTTTCTGATCCGAGCAACGCACAGTGGTTCCTGTCCATTCCCGAACATCCACGTGGGTGCTTCCTCAGTGCTAGCATTCAGGGAGGAAGGCTGGGAGGGCATCCTGGAAGAGGCCAGGCTGAATTAGGTGACTCCTACAACACCCCCTTCCCAGCAGGCTGCTGGCCCCAGGATACACAGAAACCCACTATAACCCAGATGGGCACCCAGTGGTGCTGGTCCCCAACCACACGGTGAGATACTTCCATGGGCTCTGAGGACAGGGTAAGGGTGCGGGGGGGGGTGTACTCCCTGAGGACCTCTCCACCATTCCTTCCCCATTCTCCTCCTCTTCTTAAGGAGAGCCTGCAGCCAGCCCCCCACCATGCTCTCTCTCTCTCTCTCTCTCTCTTACGCCTCCCAGTTCAGCCCTGGCTGAGCTTTGGGGCTGGGTCCCTTGCTCTCCAGGACCACTGCCTCTACCATGGGCACGTGAGGGGCTTCCCTGACTCCCGGGTGGTCTTCAGCACCTGCTCTGGGATGAGGTGAGGCATTCTGGGGGAGGGGCCTGGGCCTGGGGCTGGGGAAACAGTCCCTTCTCACCTTTCTCTGCACTCCTCGAACCCTAGGGGCCTGATCACACTGGACAGGAATGCCAGTTACTATGTGCATCCTTGGTCAGCCAGAAACTCTGAGGCCTTCGTCACTCACAAGATGTTCCAGATCGGGCAGCTGCTTGGCTGGAAAGGGGCCTGTGGCCACAGGGATGCCAGGAACAAAGGGGACATGGCTAGCCTTTCTCGTGCCACTCAGGTCAAGGTCAGGGGCACCGACAGGAGTGGGAATGAGAATGCAGTAACGAAAGCCCTCCAAATCACAAGAAATAGGAATACACAGTCCCAGTTCAGGGCCTCCAATCCTAACATTTCTATCTGGAGGGTGAATAAACAAGTTCTAGCCATCTTTAAAGCTAAATTTGTGGGGTGCCTGGGTGGCTCAGTGGGTTAAGCCTCTGCCTTCAGCTCATGTCATGATCCCAGTGTCCTGGGATCGAGCCCCGCATCGGGCTCTCTGCTCCGCAGGGAGTCTGCCTCCACCTCTCTCTCTGCCTGCCTCTCTGCCTGCTTGTGATCTCTGTCTGTCAAATAAATAAATAAAATCTTAAAAAAAAAAAAAGCTAAATTTGTGCTTCCTGGGAATTGAGGTTAGCGGTCAGGACTCAAGCCTGGCAGCCTGCCACTGAAGGTCAACATTGTCTCTCCCCAGGAGAGGCGGGAGGTCGGCAGGAGCCCAAAGTTCTTGGAGCTGTACATTGTGGCTGACCACACGCTGGTGAGCCAGAGGTCCCAGGGGGCTGGCAGGGTGGGATGGGGCCGGTTCAGCCTGTGACACCCTCTTATGTCTGCCTTTCCAGTTTTTGACCCAGCACCGGAACTTGAACCACACCAAACAGCGTCTCCTGGAGGTGGCCAACTATGTGGATCAGGTTGGCGTTGGTGGAAAGACAGCCCTGATGGGGGTGACTGCCACATAGGCTGGCAAGTCCTGGGGCAGGAGGTGGGGGGGCTGGGAGATGGGGGGGTGTTGTGGTGTGGCAGGGTTGGAGATGAGGCCAGGAAACTGAGCAAACAGGCACCCCAGGGAGGAGCACCCGCACTGTGGCCCGTCCTGTCCTCACTCTCCCCACCCCACCCTCCTTCACCCCCCCCACCCCCCCTCACCCCCGTCTTCCTGTCCTCACCCCCGTCGCGTCCACAGATTCTCAGGACTCTGGACATTCAGGTGGCTCTGACCGGCCTGGAAGTGTGGACAGAGCAGGATCAGAGCCGTGTCACGCCAGACGCCAATGCCACGCTCTGGGCCTTCCTGCACTGGCGCCGAGGGCTGAGGGCACGGCGGCCACACGACTCCGCGCAGCTGCTCACGTGGGTGCCCCCAACGCCCACGCGGGGCCCCGACCTGGCGGCCCAGAATCCTGGCCCCTCCGGGTCATGCTGCATTCTGCCTTCAGGGGCCGCACCTTCCAGGGCGCCACCGTGGGCCTGGCGCCCATCGAGGGCATGTGTTGCGCGGAGAGCTCCGGAGGCGTGAGCACGGTGAGCTCCAAACCCCTTCCCCCGCCCCCTACAGCAGTGGGGAGCAGGGGGCAGGAGGCAGGGGGCAAGGAAGGGCTAGGGGGAGGAGGCGGCGTCCCGGCAGCCCGCCCCGACTGTCCCCACTACCTCTCAGGACCACTCGGAGCTTCCCATTGGCGCAGCAGCCACCATGGCCCACGAGATAGGTCACAGCCTTGGCCTCAGCCACGACCCTGACGGCTGCTGTGTGGAAGCGGCGGCCGAGCAAGGCGGCTGTGTCATGGCCGCGGCCACGGGGTACGAACGCCGCGGTCAGGCAGGGGCTGTGGGGGAGGCCCCGCGGGACCAGGGCGCTTTCCTTTTCTTTGGGAGAAATGGTTACGCTTCTATTTTCTCTTTCGTAAAATGGGGATATGATCATAGCACCGCCCTGAGAGTTCTTTATGACGCTTGAAGGGGGAAAAGGCAGAAAAAGTGGATTGTCAAAAGTATGAAGATTATTTTCAGAACATTCTAGCAAGGATTCTCCAGCCCCGGGAGGAACAGCTCTAGGTCGCGATCAGACCTCGAGTCCTGGGCTGCCTGGTCCTGGCGTGACGCCTTCCAGCCTCGGGCTCACAGCGTGACGTTGTGCAGGTTCCCTGCCCTCTCTGGGCCCGGCTTTTAGAGGCTCCGGGCCGCTGGTCGCTTAGGCAGTATGATTGCGTCCGGGGTCTGTGTGGCCAAGTACAGGGGGTACTGGTGGGAGGGGATGGGAGACGAGCAGGGGGCCGAGGGTGTCGGTGCCAGCACGCCGGATGCCCTTCCCCGCCCGTAGGCGCCCATTCCCGCGGGTGTTCAGCGCCTGCAGCCGGCGCCAGCTGCGCGCCTTCTTCCGCAAGGGGGGCGGTGCGTGCCTTTCCAACGCGCCCGACTCGGGGCTCCTCGTGCCTCGGGCGCGCTGCGGGAACGGCCTCGTGGAGGACGGCGAGGAGTGCGACTGCGGCGCCAGCCAGGTCAGGTCCGCGCTCCCGGCCCCCGGCGACCCGAGGCTGGCGCCCCACCCTCCCCTTCCCCAACGCCCCTCCGAGGTCTGGGGCGCGGCATCCTTACCGGCTGGTCCCCACATCCCCTTTTCGGCTCCAGGAGTGCCCGGACGCCTGCTGCTTCGCCCACAACTGCTCGCTGCGCGCTGGGGCCCAGTGCACCCACGGGGACTGCTGCGCTCGCTGCCTGGTGAGGGCGTGGGAGGCTCGGGGTGAGGGGTTAGGGGGCGCTTGCGAGCCCGCCTGTTGGTCTTGGCTGATTGGCGCGCTCGGGTCCCCCGGCGGGTGCCGGCTGTATTGGAGCAGGGGCCTGCCTGGCCCTCCAGCCTCTGTGCCGCGCTCCCCGTCTGGAGCTCACGGTCTTTTGTCCCTCTGTGCCTCGGCCAACCTCCCTCCACCTGCGTAGCTGAAGCAGGCCGGCGTGCCGTGCCGCCGAGCTGTGGGTGACTGTGACCTCCCAGAGTTTTGCACCGGCGTATCCCCTTACTGCCCCCCGGACCTGTACCTCCTGGACGGCTCGCCCTGTGCCGGCGGCCAGGGCTACTGCTGGGATGGCGCGTGTCCTACACTGGAGCAACAGTGCCAGCAGCTCTGGGGGCCTGGTGAGACTACCGGAGCACCCCGGCCCATCCTCGGATGTGCGCTGTTTTCTACTCTAGGGAAGATTGGGGGGATTGCTAGGGGGACGGAAGCCAGTGCGGTTTCGCCCATGCTTCCTCAGGCTCCAGCCCAGCACCAGAGGCCTGTTTCCAGATTGTGAACTCTGCGGGAGACGCCCATGGGAACTGCGGCGAGGACAGCAAGGGTGGCTTTGTGCCTTGTGCGCAGAGGTGGGGAGTGTAGGGGAGGGCGGGGAAGCTGGGTAGTGCGCTGGGGCAAGGACACATGTCACTGTTTGATCGCCCTGCACTTTCCTCCCCAGGGATGCTCAGTGCGGGAAGCTGCAGTGTCTCGGTGGGGAGCAGCGGCCACGCCCACCGCACACTGTGCCGGTGGACTCCACCATTGGACTAGGCAGCGATGAGGTGACCTGCAGGGGAGTCTTTGTGCTGCCCGGTGTCCAGCTGGATGTGCTCGACTTGGGCCTGGTAGAGCCAGGCACTCAGTGTGGACCTAGCATGGTGAGCCCTGCACCCTTCCCCCAGTGCCTGTGGGAGAATCACTCCCCCTAACTGCCCAGTGCATACACTGCCCCTAGGTGTGCCAGGACAGGCGCTGCCGAAACACTACCTTCTGGCAGCTTGAGCGATGTCTGGCAGCCTGCCATGGCCGTGGGGTGAGTGGCCAGAATGTGATTGGGGTGGGGCGGTGATGACCTTGGAGTTCCTGACCCTGTGGGATCCTCCTCCTCTCTTCTCCTCTGTAGGTTTGCAACAGTAACCAAAACTGCCACTGTGCTCCGGGCTGGGCTCCGCCCTTCTGCGACAAGCAAGGGTTTGGTGGCAGTGTGGACAGTGGCCCCATGCAGCCTGAAGGTGTGTCCATGGTGGACAAGTGGGGAGAGGCTGGGGAGGTGCCCCTGCTAAGTACTCAGACTTACCCTGTTGTCCACAGACCACAAGGCCTTCCTGCTGGCTGTGATGCTTAGCTTTGTGTTGCCGTTGCTCCTGGGGGCTGGCCTGGCCTGGTGCTGCTTCCGGTGCCCAGGATCCCGTCTCCTGCCATGCCTCTGGAGCTTGAGGAGGGATGCCGCAAGCCGAGGGTAGGCTCTGAGCCCACTCAAGCACTCCCTGCTCTGCAGAACTCAGCTGGGCCTGGGGAAGCTGGGGTGGGGTGCTCAGACCTTGCTCCTGGCTAACAGAGGAGGGGGTGGGCAGAGGTGGTAGAAAGGAGCCTTGAGCAAGAGGCCACAGTGGGTGGGTGTGGATCCCCATGGGGCCCCCAAGCCCCCCAGTTACTGTGGTTCAACCCCCTTGATCCCCTCTTCTGTCTCTCCCACCAGGGGACTGCCTCACCCTAGCCTGCCTTTGTTCTACCAGCTCATCCTGCCAGTCTTGCTCCACTGTGCCCTTCAGGACTTTCCTAGCCTCTCACGACTCCTCTGCCTTTTTCCACTTCCTCTGCCTAAATCTCTTCTGTACATCTTTCAAGTTCACAAATGCTAGGCCTGGCACCTCCTTTCACTCCACACCACTGCTTAGCTAGGGGGCTGGCTGCCCTTGTGCCCAGGGCCTGCTCCTCACCCAGTTTTCCGTGACCTGGGAGGAGGTCACATGATACCTAAGCAGGGTTGATCACTGGGTGCTGGGCAGGGGAGGCCCCCTAGGGCACATCTGACACAGCCTGACCTTGGGAGTGCTCTGGACAAGTTGCGGGCAAGGGCAGGATTTGGGCTAGAGACTGGGGCTGAGGGCAGCCCGGACAGGGGCAGGGCACCAGCCAGGTCCTAGGTCCCGAGAGGGCTTTGACACGATGAGCAGTGATTGCAGGTCTATGGGGGACGAGCAAGGTGCTCAGAGTTTGGTGTGTCAGCATCAGGGGGCCTAGAGGCCAGGTGCGGTGGGGGCACCCATGTATCATCACTAAGGCAGAGTCTCGAGTGCAGTGGATACTGTTTCGGAAAGAGAGCAAAGGACAAGGCAAGGCTCTGGGAGATGGGACGTGGGCACCCAGGCATGGCTCAGAGTCATCGAGGGTGGCAGGGCCACCCAATGGCAAGGGGCTCAGGAATATCTGATATTGGGGAGCACAGCCACCTGTCTTTGGAGCCTGAGTGATGCCAATATCTGGAGGGTGCCAGGATGTTGGGGTGATGGCAGAGCTTGAGAAAAATGTCAGGGCTAGAGAGAAATGCCTGTGGCCCTGGGAGGGCAGGAGCCGGACCTGGAGCCTAGAACCCCAGGGCCTCTCCCAGGAGGGAGCAGGAGGGGAAAGGGAGGCAGGGACATAGACCAGAAGGGTAGAGGCGCATTAAAGGCAGAACTCAGGTCAGGTGTGTCTGCTCAGGACCACTGTGCCAGCCTCCTGCCCTCTTATCCCACTGCTCAGGCCCAAAGATGGTCCAAACAGGGACTGCCCCCCCCAGCAGTGTTCACTCCATGGAATTGGGCCCAGCAGTCATTGGAGAACCCCAGCCCTTGGGTGAGAGAGGCACAGAAGGAGATGGGGACGGAAGTGAAGGATGTGCTCTTGCCTTCCACCTCCTTCCAGATGGGCCCCCCTCCTTTCCATGTAGCACCCAGACACCCTGAGGCCCCTGTCCCCACCCTGCCCCAGGGACTCCTGCCAGTGTCACAATATGTGGCTTCCACCCATTGCTGCAGACCTTGAGAACTCTGCCAGAGCCCAGGAGCCACCTTGAGGAGCCTTTGGCTGGGTGCCCTGCCTGCCACCCCAAGGTAGGCGCGGCCTTCCGCACATCACCCACCACTTCTGTTGCCCCAACTTGGAGGTTGCTGATCTTGGGTTATTATGCAAGTGAGACGTGACCTTGTGGAAGAGCATTGGTCATGGAGACCTGATGCTGGAAGGCCTTAGGGTGGGAGAGAGAGAAGTCGTATCTCTTCTTGGGTCACTGATCCTCAGTGAGGGAGGAAAGGGGGTCTTGGCCCTCAGGGGCAAGCCTTCCTCTTCATTTTCAGCGGGTCAAGTCCAGAAGCCGAGATCCTGTTGCTGGTGAGAGGGAGCTCCTGAGATGAGGATACTTACCGTCGACCGCTGGCAGCCTCTCCAGGGACTTGGTCTCCCAGGCACAGAGCCGCAGAGTCAGACCATCTGCACTTTGGCAGCCTACAAATTTCTTCCCTAAGTTGAGCTTGCCCACCTACTCCAGGACCCCAGAGCTTTATCAGAAGGTGTGCAGTGCTGTCCCCATTCCTTAGGACTAGGGAATCCTGGTAAGGTACATACTGCAGCCCCAAAATCTATCAGTCCAAGGAGTGAAGGTCATGTAGTCACTGACCTCCCGTCAGCAGGATGGGCATGACCCAGCCTCTGTCTGGGGAGCCCCGGGGGTCTCTGCTCCATGTACTTTACCCAGACCCAGGTCTGCAGAGACTGGTGACTGCTGGGCCAGAAGACAGTCCTCAGGGCCCTACAGTTCAGACGGAGTCCACTTCCCTGGAGCCTGGCCCCAGCAAACAAACAAAATGAAACAAAACAAAAAAATCCTTGGGACCCTCCTCTTTTGCTTTTCCTGCCTTATCTTGTCTCTTGGGCGCTTCCTCAGCCTCACACCTGTTCTTGGTCCTGCATTTGAGGTTTCAGAGGAGTGTGGGGTCTGCTGTAGACACTACTCACCCTCTCCTCCATTCCATGGGAGGGGATAGTGGGAGCTGTTTTAAAAAGGACACCCAAGTAAAAGTCAAAAGAGAGACAAGCTGCCTTTGAGCCTCTGTGAGTCTTTCTCTGTGTATCGATTCAGCCCCAGGGGGCTCCCTATGGGTCCTAAGGGGTGGTAGCTGGTGGGTGGAGCCTCAGATGGCAGCCAGGGCCCCAGAGGTACCTGGGCATAGGATGCTGTTCCCTAGCTTGAACCATCCCTTTGCCCCACCTCTTTTGCCTCCCTTGGAGATTCTGAGAAGCCACTTACTCATGGAAGAATTGCTGGGTGACATTCTGTATCAGTCAGCTGTTGCTATAGAACAAAACCACTCCCAAAACATAGTAGTAGCTGGAAACAACTAATTCTGTGAATTGGAAAATTAGGTGTAATTCAGCTGCTGCTCAGCTGGGCCAGGTTACTTCTGGGTTTGGCTGGCTGTTGGCTAGAGTGATGAGGATGAGCAGGCTAGGCACCCATTTTCCAACAGACTAGCTCAGGCTTGCTCATATGACAGCTGCGGAGGGTTCGAGAGAGCAGGAGCAGGAGTAGGGCAAGGCAGGTGATGCACTTACCTTGAACACCAAAAAAAAAAAAAAAAAAAAAAGTGATCAAGATTGGGGCACCTGGGTGGCTCAGTGGGTTAAAGCCTCTGCTTTCGGCTCAGGTCATGATCCCAGGATCCTGGGATCGAGCCCCGCATCGGGCTCTCTGCTCAGCAGGGAGCCTGCTTCTTCCTCTCTCTCTGCCTGCCTCTCTGCCTACTTGTGATCTCTGTCTGTCAAATAAATAAATAAAATCTTTAAAAAAAATGATCAAGATATATCTTAATGCAAAAGTCAAAAGATCAAAATTAATGCCAAAAAAAAAAAAAAAATCAATGGCGAACAAAATATCAGAATTTTAACAGAAGACCGGATCAGTGACAGTGTCATGCCAAGCCACTTTGGAACCTGAGGCAGAAGGAAAAATTCGTAATAGTGATCATTTCTCACCCCAGTCCCAGCCTTGCCAGAAAGTAAGTGGAAGCTTACAAGGCCTCTGGAAGGTTCTACGACTGGCACATTAAACTCCATAATGCCCTATTGGCACAAGCAAGTCACAGGGCCAGCCCACATTCCAGGGACTGGGAGAGAAATTCTACTTCTTAATGGGCAGAGCAGCAGAATCATGTTTCAGAGGGCATAAAAGCTTGGGGGAATTTTGACAACCAACCATTCCTGCCACGAGCAGCAGAGAAGAGGCAGCCCCAGGCTGGCTTCCGCTCCATCAGCCCCAGAGATTGAATGAGGCAGTTTTCTACAGCTGCCTTATGTCTTTTTTTTTTTTTTTAATTTATTTGAGAGAGAGCAAGCAGGGGAAGGGGCAGCAGGAGAGGGAGAAAGAATCTCAAGCAGACTCCCCACTGAGCTTAGAGCCTGATGATGCGGGGCTCTATCTCAGGACCTGATCATGACCTGAGCCGAAACCAAGAGTCAGACATTCAACCAACTGAGCCACCCCAGCGCCCCAAGCTGCCTTCTGTCTTGATTGTACCCATGAGATTTTGATTTATAATGATGACCTGAGTTCTGGCATGGAGAGGTTAATGCCACTGAAAGTTTTTATTACTTATAATTCCCAAGAGAAGGGTGTCACACAGGGCCATGTGCGGAACCACGACGTTCAGTGGGGAGGCAGAAGCAGGAGAGAGGGCAGAGCCTATACTAAGGTTTCTGCAGGAAAGGCAAGGCAGGACAACTGACCAGCTGTGAGGTATAGGGGTGTCTCTAATGGTCTGGTACCTGGCCCTGGGATGACTTAGGGCAGGGCAAATATAGATTTTGTAAGGGTTAGGAAAAAGGAGGTGGTTGGGGGTATAGACACCAGATTGGTTGGTCTGCATATGAGAGACATATTCATAGGCAAATTTTCATGAGCTCTAGGAATTAGGGTTAGAGGCAGTCTCTCCCAAGCTCCCTCTCCCCCACTCCCTCCAAGTCAAGATGTTAAACCATCATCAAATACAGAAAATAGAGAACATAATGAATACATCTCCCCACATTCTCACCCTTGGGGGGGTGATGTCTGGATCCCATGGGATTCCCACTTATATTGCGTGTCTCAAAATACTTAAAATTGCATGATAAAGAGAAAAACATTGCATGATAAAAACTGAATGATCAAATATTGGGTATGCCATGATAGCAGTCCTTTGAGGAAAATTTATAGCCACAGTATTTTTTATTCAAAGAGAGCTGAAAGTCAGGGGACAAAGGTCCACGTTTAAAAAGCTAGAAGCCCAAGACCAGATGATTTTGCTGATGAATTCTACCAAACATTTGAAAAAGAACTAATGCCAGTCCTTTTCAAACTCTTCCAAAAATTTCAAAGAGGAGGGAAAACCCCCAAATTCATTTTAGGAAACCAGCATTGCCCTGATACCAAAGTCAGCTAAGGATGATACAAGAAAACTACAAGCCAATATCCCTATTGAGTACAGATGCAAAAATTCTCAACCAAATATTAGCAAAGTGAATTCAATAGCTCATTAAAGGGATCATACACCATGATCAAGTGGGATTTATCCCTGAGATGCCAGGATGGTTTAACATATGCAAATCGGTAAACGTGACATACCACATTAATAGAAAGATAAAAATCATATGAGCGTCTCAATAGAATGCAGGACAAGCATTTGACAAAATACGACATCCTTTCATGATAAAGACAAAAAAAAACAACAACTGGGCACAGGAGGAATATAACTCAACATAACAAAGGTCAGATAATTGCAAACCCACAGCTGACATCATACTCAATGGTGAAAGATTGAAAACTTTTCCTCTAAGATCAGGAACAAGATAAGGATGCCCACTCCAACCACTCCCATGAAGCATAAATGCGAGCAGAGCCCTTAGGAAAAAAGAAAAAAGAATAAAAGGCCTTCAGATTAGATAGGGGGAAGTAAACTTATCTTTGTTTGCAGGTGACATGATTTTATTTCTTATTTTTTTACCTTATTTTTTCAAAGATTTTATTTTTTTCTGTTTTTTTTTTCATTAACATATAATATATTATTTGCCCCAGGGGTACAGGTCTGTGAATCGTCAGGCTTACACACGTCACAGCACTCACCATAGCACATACCTCCCCAAAGATTTTATTTTTAACCAATCTCTACACCCAGTGTGGGGCTTGAACTTACAACTGCAAGATCAGGAGTCACATGCTTCAACTGAGCCAGCCAGGTGCTCCAATGACGTGATTTTATATACAGAAAGTGCTAACAACTCCACCAAAAAAAAACTATTAGAACTAAACCCCAGGGACGCCTGGGTGGCTCAGTGGGTTAAAGCCTCTGCCTTTGGCTCAGGTTGTGATCTCAGGGTCCTGGGATCGAGTCCCACATCGGGCTCTCTGCTCAGCAGGGAGCCTGCTTCCTCCTCTCTCTCTGCCTGCCTCTCTGCCTACTTGTGATCTCTGTCTGTCAAATAAATAAATAAAAATCTTAAAAAAAAAAGAACTAATCCCCAAATTTGGTAGTTAGAGCATACATAATCAGCATACAGAAATTAGGTGAGTTTCTCCTCACTGACAAATGATCTTTAACAGAAATAAAACAACTGCATTTGCAATTGCATAAAAAAATATCAAGGAATAAGTTTAACAAAGGAGGTGAGAGACCTGTACGCTGCAAACTACAAGACTTTGATGACAGAAACTGAACAAGACACAGATAAATGGCGAGATATTCTGTGGTTATGAACAGGAAGAATCAGCACTGTTACAGGGTCCATCCTACCCAGAGCCATCTATGGATTCAGTGCAAGCCCTATCAAAATTCCATGGCATTTTCCACAGGAATAGAAAAGATTGCCCTAAAATGTGTATGGGACCACAAAAGATCCTGAGTAGTCAAAGCCATCCTGAGAAGGATAGATATAAGGGAACACTAACATTTTTGTTAGCAACTTTTCTTCAAGTCTAAGGTTAGTTAACAATAAAAAGTTAAAATTATAAAAGAAGGGGAAGAACAATAATGTTTCACAAAGTTGACAGTTTGGCATGGGAGAGACAAGGTCTCCTGGGGGTGGGAGGGGGTAGTGGTGGTGGAGTGTGTGTGTGTGTGTGTGTTTCCACCTAGGCTGTGTGCCTCCGGGACCTACCTGCAGGCAAAGCGGAGGAGGGGGCAGGGGGAGACACACTCAGTGGGGCAGGATGTTATTCCCACTACAAGGCTCCTCCCCATGGGAGTGTCCGAGTCCGCACCAACGCCGCTTGCCGCTTGGGTTCCCACACTGGGCTCAGTCTGCTGCTGGGAAGCAGACACCTGTACCGCTGGGATTCTGCTTTCAGTCGTCCTCCCCATCTGTTTGCTGCCTGGCATGGGCCTCT